ATCCCATCGTGACTTTAGCTTGCCCAGAAAGAGTTTGAGGCTTGAATTAAAAAGTAACACTTTTTGCCCTTCGTGAAAGTCCTTATTACCATTGATTCTTTTGTCATGCCAATTCTTGGTTTTTTCTTTGTAAATCAAGGAGCTAGTGTAAGCCTCATTCCTAAGTTCTTCAAGAGCATTCATTTGCATCAACCGGTTGATTCTAAGTTTAGATACATCAAAATTGCATATTTTTAAAGCCCGAAAAGCTTTATGCTCTATTTCTACCGGTAAATAACATTGCTTCCCATAAACTAGCCTATATGTTGTAGTACCATAGGTGTTTTTGAAAGATGTTCGGAAGGCCCAAAGTGCATCATCTAACCTATCTGACCATTCCTTTCGAATTCTACCCACCGATCTCTCCAAAATTCTTTTTAATGCCCTATTCGTCACTTCAGTTTTCCCACTAGTTTGTGGATGGTAAGATGTAGAGAATTTATGGGTTACCCCATATTTTCTTAACACTTTTTCTAATTGATCGTTGGCAAAGTGAAGCATCATTAGTTGGTAAAGCTTGTGCCTCCGCCCATTTGGATACATAATCAACTGCCACCAAAATATATTTGTTCCCTTTTGACATTGGAAACGGTCCCATGAAATCGATCCCCTACACATCAAACACTTCACACACTTGAATACTATGTTGGGGCATCTCGTTTCGGGATGATATGTTTCCTGCTCTTTGGCATGCATCACACCCTATAACATATTGGGCAACATCTTTAAAAGTTGTGGGCCAATAAAACCCAATATCAAATATCTTCTTAGCCGTTTAATGTGCTCCATGATGTCCACCGGTGGGCCCACTATGGCAATGCTCCAAAATTTCTTGACTTTCCTTCCCAAATACACATCTTCTTATTATCCCATCCGCGCAGCTTCGGAAAAGATATGGCTCGTCCCAAAAGTAGTATTTTATTTCTAAAAAGAATTTCTTCTTTTGTTGGAGGGTAAAATCTTTTGGGATATACTTGGTAGCTAAGTAATTAGCTATATCTGCAAACCATGGCTCCTCCCCCGTGGTCACTAAAATGTACTCGTCCGGAAAGTCATCTCCAATTTTATCTTCTTCCAAATGCGGGGTTTCTAGTCTTGATAAGTGGTCGACAGCTACATTCTCCATTCCCTTTTTATCGCGTATTTCAATATCAAACTCTTGTAAAAGTAGGACCCATCGTATCAATCGGGGCTTTGCATCTTGTTTATTAAAGAGATACTTAAGGGCAGAATGATCGGTAAAAACTATGGTTTTTGATAAAACCAAATATGAGCGAAATTTATCAAAGGCAAAGACCACTACTAGTAGCTCCTTTTCTATAGTAGTGTAGTTCTCTTGTGTTGGGTTCAAGGTCTTACTTGCATAGTAGATAGGCTGAAAATGCTTGTCAATTCTTTGCCCCAAAACAGCTCCAACAGCAAAGTCACTAGCATTGCACATGAGTTCGAAAGGAAGATTCCAATTTGGTGTTATCATAATAGGAGTAGTAGTTAATCTTTCCTTCAGTAGATAAAATGCTTCATGAAATTCTTTAGAAAAGTTGAATGGTGCATCCTTCAAAAGTAATTGAGTCAAGGGCCTTGTAATCTTCGAAAAGTCTTTAATAAAGCGCCTATAAAACCACGCATGGCCTAGAAAACTTCTTACCCCCTTGACATTTGTTGGAGGTGGTAGTTTGGCTATAGTGTCCACCTTTGCTCTATCCACCTCTATCCTATTCTCGATACCTTGTGTCCTAGCACAATTCCTTCCTTTACCATAAAATGACACTTCTTCCAATTAAGGACAAAGTTGGTATTTTCACATCTTGCTAGCATTAAATCCAAGTTGGACAAACAATCTTCAAAGGAGGACCTGAAAACTGAGAAGTCATCCATGAAAACCTCCATAAATTTCTCGATCATGTCATGGAAGATGGCCATCATGCACCTTTGTTGAATTTCCCGGCAACGACGCAAAAAACTTGATGTGTGTAAAATGCACTGGTTTTATTCCTACTCTAAAAATATAGATTTAGCGCACAAAGCAGTGAACCTGTCTTTTAGTGGTATAGTTGAATAAGTAGGGTGTCGAACTTAGGGAACAGAAATTAAACTAATAACTAATTTTAACTAAACAAGTAATTAAAGTAAAGGGTTTTCTCTAGTTTTACAAGACTAGAAACTTAAACACACCACCTAACATGTAATTAACTAATCAACTAAAAGCAAGTAAAAATTCACTAAATTTAATAAAAGGGTTTCTGCTTAGGTCCAACCAATTTACTCCTATGGTTAATTTTATGATAAAGCAATAGATTAATTGTTATTGGTTACCGACTATAGTGAATAATTTCGCATTCGCTATTACCAACCCTTAGAAAATTAATCAATTCAATCAGTGATCAAGTGTTTAAACTAATTAATTCCCCAGTTCAATTATTCGGATTAAATAATACTTGTAATTGGTTAATCAAATTAGAAATTCAACTAGCCTCTTGTTTGTTGGTTTATCAAACAAGCTCACACATTAATTTACCCATTATCTAATTAATCATAGTTTTATATTCACTAATCCTAGGCACATAACAAAGTGTTCACATAAGTCATATGATGTCAACTATTAAGAGATGTTCATGCAGCCTAATTGTCTTCCTATTAATAGAAAATAGTTATGGTTAATGCATAAGGGTCTTTAACAAGCTTAATTTAATAAAATCACCAAAAATCAATCAATCAAAGTATAAATCAAACCATAGGAGTAAATTGGTCTTTCCTAAACAGAAACTACGAAAATTCAGCTCATGATTACAGTATAGGAAAAGCTAAAAACGAAATTAGTTAATCTAAACATGGTTCAATTCTAATTCCCCTTGAGTCTTTTAAAGATGAAAGATTAGGGTTCTTCAGGTCTCCAAGGTTCTCTTTAGTCGCAAGTTATTCTCCAGAAAATCCAAAAAGATCCTGAATTCGGAATTAGATCTCTTATTTATAATTTCCTTAAAATAGGGGCAAGTCGGCGAGTAGGTACCCAACTCGCCGAGTTCCTTTGAGAAATTCGTGTACAACAAGGATTCTGGACATCACTTCGTGAACATTCATGGGAACTCGCCGAGTAGCTCCAGTTTTGTTCTTCTTTCTTCATTCTCCAGCTTCTAATTGCTTCCCCTTCCTTCTCTTTGCTTCCGAGCATGTCTTCTGGACTGAAAATATAATTTAGACATTATTAAGTACCTTTTGTCCATATTATGCAAACAATTAGCTAATAATTGATAAAAATCTACACTAAACTTATAGCTAAATATGCACATATCAGTAAACAAATACTATTTGGTTTTATTTATGATTGAAAAAGTTTAAATTTGGCATAAATTTTTTGGATGTGACATAAGGAGAGGAGTTTTGAGAGAGAGAGAGAGAGAGAGAGAGAGAATTTATAATCCAAGGAAACAGTGGGAGACAAATTGACCTTAAAGAGCTTTAGGAGTCAAGTGGTGAAGGAACCTCAAACATTAGCGATCAACCTGAGGAGGAAACTCATGTTGAGCCGATAGATGAGTCTGTACCTCCGAGGCGTTCCACTAGGGTTAGGAACACACCTGATTTTTATTATGGTTATCATATCACCGCAAAAGGTGATACATTTATCAGTGAACTGATAGTACACTGGTAGATTTGGATGAACCTAGTAACTACAGGGAAGCCATGGCAGGCCCCAAGTATGCTAAATGGTAGGAGGCTATGGACAACGAGATTCAATCCATGTATGACAATCAAGTTTGGAACTTAGTTGACAATGTACCTGGTCGTAAGACAATTGGGTGCAAATGGATATTCAAGAAGAAGACTGACATGGATGGGAAGGTACACACTTATAAATCGCGACTAATGGCAAAGGGCTTTACTCAAACTTCGGGAGTTGACTATGATGAGACCTTCTCACCAGTAGCAAAGATTAAATCTATTAGGGTCGTGCTAGGCATTGCTACATTTCATGATTACGAAATATTGAAAATGGATGTCAAAAACGCTTTCCTTAATGGAAAGTTGGTTGAGGATGTTTACATGGCTCATCCAGAGGGTTTTGTCGATGAAAAGTACCCTAATAGAGTGTGTAAGCTTGAGAAATCCATTTATGGGTTGAAACAAGCATCTCGCAGATGGAATCTTTGTTTCGATGAGAAAGTCAAAACATTGCCCTTAGTCTTTCAAGAATTTTCAAAACAATCTTCAACACTTTAAAAATAGATAGGAAATAAATGGCAAGACTTCCCAACACAAATTTTATAAGCATTAAGTGCGCCTAATTGAAAGTAATTTAACTTTCCAAATTGTCAATCTCTCACTGAATCTCTCCACCATTGTATTCCAATTGCTCTTGAGTAACATGATACAACCAATAGGCAAACTGAAGTACTTCATATAGGTTATACTCATGCGGAACATCCAAGCATCATTGTCATATTTGAAACTTCAAAGTTATCCATTCTCACCCAAAATAAGTTGACTTATTAATGTTTAAATTCAGCCCTGATGCTAGGTAAAAACAATTTAGGACATGTACAATGTTCTCCATAACTTGTTTACACCAATTTGAGACCAATACCACGTCATCTACATAAAAGAACTTATCGGCTCATTTCAATTTATTTTATTTAAATTTTTATTTATGGAAAGTGATATCACAATGCTTACTAGTGATATGATTTAAAAAAGTGACTATAAAGTCATATCACATATTTTTTAAATATTTGATACATAACTTTATATAATGTAAACAAAATTGTTATGTTTTATAAATTAAAAGATGAATACCAAAAAAAGTAAGGGGTAGCAAGTTGGAAATTTGGGAAAGTGTGGTTCCATAAAGTAACAAACTATTAAACAGGGGTGGCGCCTGAGGCCAGGGGGAAAAGGGGGGGAGGCATCCAGACATGCCAACGGACTCCTTCAACACACACAAACACACACTCGATTCTCCAGTAGTTGTTTACAATCTTCACCGCCGGAGAACAACCATAACCTCCATCAACCACCACCACCATCACCACCACCGTCTCATTGATCAGAGCGAGACATAGCTGAAGAAGGAGAACAAACTCCGAGGGATGCGATCCTCCGCGGAGAGGTGGCGGTGGGGATTGTCATTCAATGCGGCGGGTGAATCAGGAGCGAGAGGTCCTCGCTGTTAATGGCTGGTTTCCAATTGCAAATGACTTGGCAAACGAGTTTGTTGTTGAAGAAACGAAAGAACGGTCCTCCATTAGGGTTCAAGAATCTCGGTAATACCTGCTACCTCAACGCCGTTCTCCAGTGCTTAACCTATACTCCTCCCCTCGCCAATTTCTGTCTCCGACTTCAACACTCCGAAAACTGTATGTTCTCTTCTTCTACTTACTCTCATACGCACACACGCACGCTCGCGTATCTGAATTTTCATTAATTTTAACCTAATTTCATCATTTCGTTCGGGAAATTGTTCCACTTCGTTAACATAAATTCCCCTAATTCGACAGGCGAGTTCCTGGCGCAGCAGGACAAGAAGAGTGATTGTCCGTTTTGTCTACTAGAGAAGAGAATTGTTCGATCTCTTAGCATCGACTCAACCCTAGATACACCTGGTAAGATCATTGGGGGATTGAAAGTCTTTGCAGAGCATTTTCGTTTAGGGAGGCAAGAAGATGCACATGAATTCCTTAGGTACGTCATTGATGCTTGTCACACCACATGTCTTCGTCTGAAGAAGTTGCAGCAGCAAAAACGCAAGTATGTCAGCAATGGAGGAGGTGATGGCTTTAACGGCAGTACAGTAGTTAAAGAGATTTTTGGAGGAGCTTTGCAGAGCCAGGTCAAGTGTCTTGCTTGTGGAAACGAGTCCAATAAGGTTGATGAGATAATGGATATTAGTGTCGATGTGTTGAACAGTAGCTCTCTCAAGGAAGCTTTTCAGAAATTTTTTCAACCAGAGATTCTGGATGGAAATAACAAATACAAGTGTGATAAGTAAGCATACAATCGATTCCTTTGGTAGTTTTGTCATATTGATCTATACAAATGGTCTGAGATAGAAACTTGTGCTTTTGTAGCTGTAAAAAGCTGGTAGCAGCAAGAAAACAGATGTCTATTGTTCAAGCACCTAACATTCTTGTTATTCAACTCAAGGTATGATCAGTGCCCCATTGTCTTTTTATGTTTTCTTTTAGCATCAAGATAGGTTGTGGCTAATTAAGCTGTTTTTTCGGTTGGATAGAGATTTGAGGGAATCTTTGGTGGGAAGATAGACAAAGCAATTGCTTTTGAGGAAGTATTAGTTCTTTCAAGCTTCATGTGCAAAACAAGCCAGGTATGTAGGGCTAGTCATAGTCTTATAGTCTATGTTATCTGAATAGAATCAATAGATGTAAGATGCCCCTTTTGACTACTTGATATTAGGCTTGATTTCTTTAATTAATTAATTAATGTACAGGTGCAGGATCCACATCCAGAGTATAAACTTTTTGCCACTATTGTGCATTCCGGATTTTCACCAGATTCAGGACACTATTATGCTTACATCAAGGTCAATGTCCCTTCAATTATTTACTATAACTAAGGTCAAAGTTATGAAACAGTTAGGTTTGACTTGTTTCCAACTTATTTATATGTTTAATTTATAACAGGATGCAGTTGGGCGTTGGTATTGCTGCAATGATTCTTATGTTTCAGTTTCAAGCTTACAAGAAGTCTCCTCTGAAAAAGTGTATATCCTTTTCTTCTCTCGTATCAAACAAAGGCCCACCACTACCAAAACTCTATCCACACCCACCAATGGAACTACTGAATCTCATGCCTCAAAGCTTCCCAATCCCAAACCTGGTCAAACTGTCAAGTCAACACACTCACAACAAGAATATTCTGTTGCTGCTAATAATAATAATAACAATAATCATTCTCAAAAGATTGATTCTTCAACAACATCATCATCATCATCAAAGTTGGGTGTTTCTGGAGCCAAAAAGTTTCCTAATATGAAAATCATTGTTCATAATAAAGAAAACAATGGTGATCACAAGTCAAGTCCAACTGATAATAATAATCATATTCATAATTATAATAATAAGAAGAAGATTCCCTTGTTGGAGGACAACCATAATGGGAATGGGAATGGGAATGAAAATGTTGTTAAGACCAATGGTACAACAACAAATGGTAATGGTGTTGTTAAAAGCTTGTTGTTACATGATAATAAAAGGAAACATCAACATGAAGACAACAAGCATTGTAAGTTGATGGGTGAGGATCATGAGTCACTAGCAAAACGTGAAGAGCTAAAACAAAGGTATATGTATATATATGTTATTATTCATTATCTATAATGCTGTTGTGTATTTTATATATAACTTTTTTTTTTTTTTTTTTTTTTTGGAAATATTTGATATACAGTCTTATGAAAGAAGCTTGTTCCTTTCTACGGAGTTGTGATTGGGTGGATGAGGTTCAAAGTTTCATGCATGCAAAGAAGCTTTGTGCTCGAGATGCGCCACTACAACCACAACATGATGAACTTAAGTAATTAATTCTTTATGAATCTGTTTTTCCTAATTACTTGAGTAGTGTGTATGTGTGTGAATTTTTTGTTATTAATAGATGAATATATACGATGGATGATTTTTGCAGGAAGAAATTGATAGGTGAGGCGAAGGCTACTTTTATCCCAAGAGTTCCGGAGGCGTTGAAAACAAGTCTGATCAAGCACATTAGAGCTCATGTGGATCCATGAAACAAGTCAACAAGAATAGGAGGTAAATTTTGTTTCTTTTTTTTTTTTTTCTTTTTAAAAAATGTTTGTATTTGTATGGTGGAATGGAATATTAGAAGAAGACTAATTTTGAAACGGAGGAAGGAAGGAAGGAAGGAAGGAATTCATTGAGTGTAGCGATTAATTAGTTTTATTAGAACAACGGCATACACATACTTACATACATACTCCATATATATCTATATATTCTTTCTGTAATATAACCCCTTTTCACTCCACTCCACTCCACTTATTCTGCTGTGTTTTACTTTTACTTTTTTCTTTCCTTTGGATATACTGATGTATGCTCTGTTTCTTTTATCCTTATATTTTAAAAAAACTGTTCGTAGTATTTATCAATGGTTAAGCTAACTTTTTTTAAGTGGAAAAGAAATTATTTTATACCTACTCGCAAATATACCAACACTAATTTTTCTAAAAAAATAACATAAAATGAAACTTCAGTAAAAAGCTAGAATAACTAGAAAGGCAAACATATGCATGGATTAACAATTAAGAGAAAAAATTGAGATTTATCTGACTATTATAACAAGTAAGTTATCAATTACTTTGGTCTTGCTATTTGATTTAAAATCATCTACTAATATTCCTATGTAGATTGTGTCTCTAAAAAAAAATAAGTCCATGGTTTTTTTTTTTTTTTTTTTGAAAGTGACCTAATAATATATGTCTACATTAAGTTTTAGTTTAATTGATTTTCCAAATCAAAGCTTATTTGGAAGTCAAAATATATTCATTTAAATTAGAAACCGAATAAAGCAATTTAATATTAAATTCATTTTCGGATCCAATGATCAAAGACAAAATCCCATCAAATCTGTATTATAAAATTAAGATCACAACTGAAAATGACATTCCGTTTACACAAAATTGGATTTAACATAATAAACTACATTAAAGTTTTGATACCACACAGCTCAACTAAATCGACGTAAAATTAATCTATAAAAATATAAAAGTAAAAACATTGAAATCAACATCATTTTGGAATGAAATTCTAGATAGCAAATAAGCAACACACTTAACTTACGAAAAACGAAAGAAAGTATAAAATTGGAACTCCCCTGTTTTGATATACACAGCATGGCCCAATGGAATGTGGTTGCTGCTTAAAGATGGTGCCATGGTGGTGTGGTTGCGATGGTGGTGGTGGTGGTGGAGTTTGTTTGATGGAGAAAAAGAAGATGTTTCTCTTCAAAAAAAAAAATGACAACCGAGAGACCAAGAAAAGTCAAAAACAAATCCCATAAATCTCTCAAAATTCAAATCTCTTTATCTATCTCAATCTAACTCCTTTTCATGCGTTTTTGGATACCTGGGCTGAAATTTTTTGTTTGGGCTCTCATGTCATCTTGAAAAATTTTGTTTGGGCTCTCAATCTTGAATTTTTTTTAGGATTTAAGAGTAAATTAATGATCATGTGGTTAGGTGTAACCACGAGACCATTCATGTAGAGTAAACGATTAATTGATTAATGATGTGGTTTTATAGGAGCTTTTGATTAAATGTTTTTCTTGAGTTTAACATCACAATTGAATGAATAAACTTGATGCCATGATGATTTTGCAGACATAAAATAACCGGCTAAAATTGTTACTAGATAATCAGATTCTAAGATCATTCAGGTTTTTAATGCGTTGCAGCCTTGGTCATGATATGATAGCTCATACTCTTCTTTAGTTCATATTGAAATGCAAAAACTTTAAATAACCCTTGATATAAAATGAAATTCTCAAATTGAACTAAAAATACTAAAAGTTGAAACCAAGTGATTCAGAACTCGAGTTTAATATCTTATATGTTCGAATAAAGATTAAATGAATATTTTATCTTTATATTCCAAAATCCCGATTACACAATACTCATCAATTTTAACATGATAATAAATTTATAGGAAAAAAAAAAAAAAGACAAATAGCTAAAAGGTTAATGTTTTAATACATTAAACCAAGTTTTTAAATAAAAAAGAAACAACCATATTGATAACTTGTTATATTCGTTATGTATGTTTCTTTTCTACATTGTCAAATTAAATTACAAATTTACCTTTACATTTCAATAAAACAAATTCCACATCAATTGAGGAAAGAAAAACAAATAAATAAAAAGGGATATTGTCATTATAAGCAACGTTTTCTAAATAAAAAAGAAACAAATATGATTGTCCATATTAGATGCTTAACATATTAAATCAGTTCAAGTCAAACAGAAACTAATAACCCTTTACATGTTAGTTATATAGGTGTATTAGTGATTTTCTTCTTGAATGATTGATATAAGACATAAGGACATGGGGGATGATCATTAACATGGTCACTGCCTTTTGATGTTTAAAATCATTTGATTTTTGTTTTTTTTTTTTTTCTTTCTAAAACGCCTATTTGGAATAGTTTAGAATTGTTAGGTTTAATTTGTTGAAGTTGGTTTGTTGGTGAGCGATAAGTTGAAATTGGTAGTTGTGATCATAAGAGAATTATGTGAGTGAAGCTCCTCATGATTGGTGGATAATGAGTTGTATTTAGATTCTATTCCTTTTTATGGGACTTACAAAATTTTAATTTAATCAAATGGCTGCTAAGCTAAAAAAGCAAAATCAGCTAATCTATGGACACACATATGAGTTTATGTTTAAGAATAAGTTTATGGCAATTATTCAGAGTTTAACATTTCATTATTATATTGTTTGGTTTGTGTCTATTATATTAATATCTTTACAAAGTTTAACCTATATATATGAGCAGACACACAAGTTGTGAAACATAAATGCTGTCTTTTTTGTTTTTTTGAACAAGCAACAAATACATTATTATCCTAAAGAAACTTAGAGCATATATCCTAAAGACTATATAGATAAAACTAAGGGTTGCACATGAATTCTGGAAAACATTAAATAGAAAAAATAGCAATGATCGGTATTATGGAATTTGAATAAAATATTGATTGAATGCATACTTGTGGGCATTTGATTATTTTATTAGTTTATTTAAAATTATTTAGTATTTTCTATATATAAGTAAAATTTTGTGAAATTCCGTAATTTTGGTGATATTTTGTATTGAGATACCTTACGAAGAACTTATTGTTGAACTATGTGGATTTGAATGTCCGTAAAACTTTATATTTCAACATTATAATGCATGTGAAACATCTTTTATAATGATCCAAAGAAAAGAAAACATACTTTTTAAATTTAAATAAAAATGAATTTTGAGAACAAAAATTGTCATGTCTCGGATTGAAACAAATTTATCTCCTTATATATATACACAAAGTGAGATAGACTTAATAATACACTGGAATTTATACCAAATGTTGCATAATAGTGGTTATTATAAAAATTGAGACTAAACTACTTAAATCTTTCCTAATAAATAAAGAACTTTTTGTTACATATCACACTCATTGATTTGGTCACATGTTATTTTGTGGTTATTTTTAATTAATTTTTTTTTCATATGGCGTTTTGTGGGTTTTTTCAATTTAGTAATTTCCACATAATATTTAAATGTAATAATTACAATAAATGTAATAATAAATGCATATCAATTTTATTAATTGACTTCCTTCTAATTTCAGTTTTTCTAAATTAAAGTTTCATTAGTTTCATTTGTTTATTTATCTAAATTATTTGTTTAATTAAAAAACAGTTTAATTTTAATAATTCAATATTTTCTATTTTTTTCTTTTAAATTCAAAATTCTCAAATGTTTAGATTTTTTTTTCTTTAAAATAAATACATATAATACATAGATCTTGTATCTAATTAGTTATAAAGATATTTTCACTTTTCATTAAATGTTAGTAAGCCAGAGATAGCACACTCATTGCGATTCAGAAAGAATGTGTACGTACAATAGAAAATACATAAGAATACACTTGACACTTTTCGTTAGTATTTATAATTACAATAATCACCTCTCATTATGAAAAAAAAAAAAAAAAAAAAAAAACAATTAGTAGTCTAAAAGAGAGCAAAGTGCCATATTTCATATTTAGAGGGACCTCATGGCTCATTGTCACACTCAAATGGAACAAGGTGCATCAAACCTCCAAAATATTATCTCTTAAGTCTTAAGAGCACAAGTTTTTTAACAATGAAAATATTACCTTCCTTTTGCTTGTCTTGTAACGAAAGATAATATCCATACATTTCTTTTTTCTAGAAAGTTTCTACGTCTCTACCTATTCTTACACATTATGACAATCTTATCATAACCATGATTATTCATCATTGTTGTTCTTTAATTGTCATTTTATCTAAGATACGTGTTATAACTGATACTTCAATCTAACACTTAACGAGTGTTTGGTTTACTTTGATATAAAATTCATATGTTAATAAATATATATAACATGTTAATCATTTTTATATATTATGGAAATAAGATCTTTAATTTTTTTCTCCCACCAGCTGTATTTAATGTATTATGTTTCATTGTTTAAATAACATATGGGTTGGTATCCACAACCATATCTATGAAAACATATTCATATGTCTAACATGCTTTCATAAACATCATGTTACATAAAATTATTGCAATTTTGCAATTTCTACAACATATTATACACTTCATTATTGGCTTCTATGATGGAAATTAAAAACAAAATATCACTACATTTGATCAATATGGTTGACAATTTTTATTTTATTTTTTATTTTTTGATACGGACAGTCCCCATGATCTAAAAATTCATAACGGTTGATACTTTTGACTATACTTTCCATTATTTTCTAACTTTTATTAATCATATTAACTTTTAAGTATTAAAGGATTGATGATGGTAAAATTCATATTTCATAAATGATCCCTAAAGTTTATATTAATTTGGTCGAAGCGCCAAAAAAAATTTATTATATTGGACTTAATAGAAAGTTTTAGATTATGTTTGGCGGACTAGCTGAAAAGTTAACTGTTAAATAAAAAAGTTAGCTGATAAAAAATAACGTTTGGTAAAACTAATTGAAATATTTAAAATTACATAAAAGGATATATAAAAGTATTTGTTTCTATAACTAATTAAGGGATGTATTTAGAAAATTTTAAAAAATCTCCTAAAACGCTAATATAAGTAGTTT